GTCAGTCGAGCCTTCTGTATCCGTGCTGAGATTTCATCGAAGACCGGGCAATCAGGCTTGTTGAGACTCTCAGGATAAGTGAGGTAGCCAACACGCTCATCTACTTCACTCCTTACTACTAGTTCAGGCTCTGAAGCAAACCAATCTTGAAGCAACATTTTGGATTTCGAAGGGGAGAACCGTAACCCGAACATACTTGTATTGTTGCTTAAGCTGGTCAGAAGACTGCATTTTGTCATCATCTTCACCAAGTGGACTTATGTCATTGGCATATTCTAAATTGGCAAGCGAGTTTCCTATATATCCTTTCTCATAGACTGGAGCAATCAATGGCCGAGACCAGTCAGATGGATGGACATTGCCAGTAAGTCCCATATTAGTGTGTTCTATACTATTTGCGGTGTGGCTTATAAGTAGTATGGAGTAGAGTGTCACTCGGAGGTTACTGTTGAAGAGAACAGTATTAAATCCGGATGCAATGCGCAATCGAAGTGTTTTGAAGACTATAAGACATATTAGGGAAGGTAACTAATAATCCGCTTGTTCTTAAAATAGAAGTTTGAAGATAATGTTTACACATTTTGCTAGTAAATTATCGTTTTAAATAAATCACTTTTCCATCTGGTTTTAAGGTTTTCGTTCATTACATAAGGAAAAACAACCATTCCGTGTTTCTTGGTTTTTAATGGTAGCGTGATTGTTATTTAACGTACGAAAATTTAACAATCTACACAAATCTTGTGTTCACTAATTACTAACTTCAGGATGCTATTCTGGACGTTGTAGTGCGAAACCGTAAGTGGTGGAGTCCAGCCATCTCGGGTCTGAGAATTATACCCCTTATGGAATGGAAGGTGATCGCCTTATATTGTAACTTGATTGAAGTTAAACATGTACATCATTGGATTCAGGTTCAAGGATCTGAAGGTTTAGAGTTCGTGCTAGAGACCGAAGGTAGTGAGTGTAATTTTTGATAGTAGAGTTGTGGATGTGCACTTTTAACGAGTTCTACACTCGGATGAAATATGTCCAGTGGTTCTTGTCTTTCAGTGATGATCTAACTCAAATCAATCCGTTATTTAAACAGTGAAAACACGAAATTCTCTTCATTGGCGAACTAAATTATTGTTTATGTTAGTTTTATAAAAGTTAATTTTCGTGTGGTTACATATGTGATTTATGAAATTTTAACGTATATAGGTGATTTCGAACATACGAAATCATATTTCGAGCTGACATTGATCAAAGTACCGTTGAATATACAGAATGTTCGGTTTTCACAGCAGGTATAATAATCTGGTGGGATGTACCTGTATATTTTTACCGTCAGTTTATTTATCACACATAGTTCATATGGAACCTTATATGTTGCTTCCCAAACATCACGAATCCAGATGGTAGGGATGTGGGAAGTTTGTTTTCAATAAGTTAATGGTTTTAGTCATTTCCTCATTATTTTATTAGGTAAGTAAATGTTTAGAAGAATATATGATAAATGAGCATCGATTAAAATAATTACATTACAAAAAGTAAACATTGATAGTCTTGTTACTGTTAATCGACTGTACCTTCGGGTGTTTTGTTTCTTCCCTAGACTATTTGCTTACAAATCAAATTCATAACATAGCTAATAAATCACCTCATTAGTTGTACAGAGTTACCTAAGTTCAATCGAATTACTATTAACGTGTTAACGGTTTCACAAACTATCTTTGCTGTGTATCAGTCTAGGTTCTGTTTCGTGATCGCCCGAATTCCAAGAAAATCTGGTCTTAGCTTGTTTAATTACTTTTTTTTACGACTGTTGAAATATCACCAGAAAATTTGTGAAACCTCTCCACTATAGTATATAGAATATAGTTACAAAATGTATTTCATTTCGATTTAACACCTAGATGTCGAAATCGACTACTTTTAAGGTGCGTTGTATTTAATGTATATACTCTTTAGGTAAAAATACAGTACTGAAAAATGATTTTCACATTATTTCCAGGAGATAAATTTTTTTTTTTTAAAGTCCTCTAACTGGTGGTTTGGAGGAGTTATTGATGCATTTTACGGTGATACGACCAGAAAAGCGACGCTTAAACTTAACAATAAATTCAACTGCAGCACTGTCTCAAATCAACTTTCCAACTACTACAATCAAGGCCACTTTCTGATCATTCTGTCACTAAACAACCATATTGGCTTCTATTTTGACAATAACTCCGAAACATTAATTTTTCTGATAGTTTTACCCATGAAATTAGTCTAACCAGTGTAACCTAACTAAAATTTCTGTCAACGTCGTTCAAATATCTCAAAATCTACAACGACATGCTGTTGTAAATATAAATGTTGTTTTTATGAATGATGTTTATTACACTTTAGCTAAACTGTTACAAAAGTGAAAAATCGATCATTTATGATTTAGCCAGTCTTTTGTTCTACATAAATATCAACTATTTTTTTTAACTAGTTCTTGTTTGATTTCGTATTCTTCAATTTGATTGGAATCTTTCAATTAAATTAGCCTCGTTTGGTCACCACATATCAAGTGTTAATTGAATATTGAACAGTGAAGTTCATCACTAACAAATTACTCGTATAAATATTTCTCCTATTCCAATTAGTTATAATTACACATTTGCAATATCAGTTATTATTTATTTTGTATTTATAGTTGATCAAGTCTATGTAACACAGCTGGGGAAAAGAGTAATTAATGAAGTAGAACATTTGCAACTATGATGCACAATGAAAAAGGTGATGAAGTTTTTTTAATAAAAAAATGTTAAACTGAAAGAGCTGCTGTAGTCTTTCCAGCACAATATTTATCCTAGAAATGTGAAGAGATTATGGTTGAATGGTAGGAGATGTGGATGTATTTGTTAGTCAGGCGAACATTTTTTCGCAGTAATCCTCTAATAGTTTTACTTACTTGATTTGAGAATTTACTAATGAAATCATCAATCAATCATTGTTAGACCACCATTAGAAACCTGGAGGCACTGGACGGCCGTTTTGTCCTGGTATGGGACTAACTCACCAGTAGCAGTGCGCATCCACGACTCCTGAACCTGGCAAGATTCGAACCCGGGACCTTCAGTATTGTGCACGAACGCCTAGACATCGGACCACTAGGCCGGCATCCAACGGTGTTAATGTCTAACTCTGATTGATATAGGGATTTTGCGCGACCCCACCCATTTGTCTTTGGTAGTTACTGCCTGCACCCGACAGGGTTGGACTCCATTGGTCACGTCTTCTCCATAAATTTCCTCACGAAGCTAGTCACTAGTGAGCACTGTTACGATATTTTTGGGCAGAGTTTTTGGAGGTTTGTGTTTTTTACACATTTGAAATCATCAGTCAATCGTGGATGCACACTGCTGATGAGTCCCATACCAGGACGGAACAGCCGTGCAGTGCTTCCAGGTTTCTAATGGTGGTCTAACAATGATTGATTGATGATTTCAAATGTGTAAAAACACAAACCTTCAAAAACTCTGCCCGGAAATTTACTAACGACATGTTTTCTCTCAACTTATTAGAATCATTCTCTTTATTGAACTGACCTTCCTTTTGAAACTTTTCTTTTGTCCAATCTACTCATCCCATCAGCTATAACTTGCTTTCGCTGAGGAATATCATAGTTAATTTATATTCACATTGTCTTAAATCAGAACCATGCTCACAGCCATCAGAAGCGCATTTTCAAGCATAATTTAATTCGTTTTATTTACTTAAATACCCAATCGCTTATTATCACATTTGTTTGTAGTTTTCGTTATGTCATTACCACTATTTGAGGAACGAATCAAACACTTCTTATCCCAATTAAAACGAGAGTTAGTGGCCCGGGATCTGACTCCAATTTGGATAAGCAATTAAATATGCTGTGTATAATTCTTAAGCGAACATAGTTTATGTAACAGCCGTAATTAAAAGCCCAGTAAAGTTTTATGAAGGGATTTATTCTATACATTCATTTAAGCAGATAAACAATAGAATATGAAGCGCAAAATGCGAAGTGAAGCAAAGTGAAGTGGAGAAGGCGAGTGAACCAATTCACAATGTAATGAGGCGTGACCAAGTATTTATAGTCAGACAAAAATAAGCTAGACATGTGATAAGTGAAGTAAGCAAATACACTCACGCACAATTAAAATACAACCAAGATTATGAAGGCAAATAATTGACAAGTTTGCAAGATGTGTATTTAATCACAAGCCAGTGGGCTCGACACATATTAGTACATAAATTAGTACATACTACAATTATATATATCCCTCCAAAGTACATTTTCAGATCCCGAATTTAATCATTCAACCAGACAAATAAGCACTCAAAGATTGTGTTTAATTTCACTCTGACGCAACTACCATATTAAACGAGACAAATCTTCATCAATTCTTTTCAAAAGGTAATGATTCATAAATCAGTAGACTGTTGTAAAATTATGATCATAATATTAAGTTTTAGTTTAAGGTAACTCAGTTCACAAAGTACATATCATTATATTATATCAATTTTTTCAATCAATGAAGCAAACTAAACTCACATCAATCAATGAGACTAAATCTAAAATCATAAATACTTTTTGTATATTTCATCATATATTTTCATTTTCGTTTCACAAAAATTCACTGTACAAGTTACAACCATGATCAAATGATCAATCTTTGAGTTTGTTTATTTAAACTGAGCATCTACAATGGTATGTATTAAAAAAAAATTTCTTCTTAAAAACACATTCACTTTGTCTATTATTACGAATTAATGGTAGTTTTCTTATCTCATCAAATACACCAATCAAAATTCTAGCCTCCTTCTGTTTTTAACCAATCAAAAAAAGCATATCATTCATGATATAAATATAACAATTTCTTGACATGAATTAAAATAAACATGTCGCCACCGGTACAACTATTTAATATTTATCAATTCAATGTTCATTTAATTTGTACAATGATCAATTTTTAATTTCAATGAATTTCTTGTTATGCTAATTCATCATGACATCATTAACGAATCGTCGATCGGATTGTTTAAAATCATTAACTAGTGAAGAATTAATGGTCTATAATTTTCGTGCTTATGTATCACCTTTGCTAGCATTCATTGGTATACCAGCAAATATTTTTGTAATTATTATTTTCAATCTATTACAACGTCAACAATCATGTCGTTTTAATTTATATGCAATATGGATGGCATTAGCACATTTAGTACAATTAATTGTCAACACATTGATTGATGATTTTTTAGGTCGTGGTTTAAAATGGGCTACAGATTGTTATATATGGTATCAAGTGGATGCATATTCATCATTTACATGTAAACTGTTAACATATCTGTCAGATGTTTCCGCTTTAATAGCATCATGTATCCTTATGTTATTTAGCATAGATCGTGTATGTTCAGTATATTGTTCTAAACCAATTGAACAAATTTTACATTTACGTATTGCTAAATTATCAATATTCATTATTTATGTAATTTGTTTTCTATTAAATATCCCGCATTTAATTTATGCTGATTTAAAAGATGATCCAAAAGAAACTGTCAATTGTCAATATGTTGATCCAGTAGCAACTGGTGTAAAATATGTACTTTATTTATATATTATTGGTGTAACAATATTACCAGCTATATTAATATTTATAATGAATATTTTGATCTCATGTAAATTGAAATCTACCATACAACAATCAAAATTGCATGGTTATCATGATAAACAATCTTATAGTGAATTAAGTAAAGTGATTACTCATTTAGCTATAAGTATTATGTTCACATGTTTATCGATTCCATTAGTGACATTAATGATATTACGACAAAAAGTACATTTTAATAATTATGAATTAATTTATCCAATGTATGCATATAAAATTATACAATTATCAAAATTATTTAGTTCAGTGGATTCTTTCAATCATACATTTGATTTTTTTCTTTATTGGGCATTTTTGCCAGTATTTCGACAAACATTACATGATATCATTATAAATATCTATTCATTTATGCTGTGTATTAATCATTATAAAAGAAGAAAGAGTACTATTGGTAATCATAGTAATAATAATAGTAATAATATTATTATTGGTAAAAATATGACAAGAAATAATAATACTCATAGGATACTTGATAGTAATAGTAATAGTAATCATCAGCATCATCATCATAAACTCATCAATAATCAAATGAACAGTATTCATAATAATAATAATAATACTGATAACAGTAATCATTGTAAGACTAATGCATATGACTATGATTTATCTAATTTAGCATGTTATACAGATTTTCCTATAGGATATTGTAAAGGTCGTTGTTCTCCACATCATCTTTACTATTATCAACATTATCGTAATCATCGTGATCGTCCGCATCATCATCATCAACAGCAGCATCCTCATCAGCATCATCATCGACATCGTTATTACCAGTACTATGAACCGCATCGTCAATATTATCGACGATATCCACATAAACTTTATCAACTGGAATATAGTAAACAATTAAGTTTTCATTGTATGGAAGAACTACGTAGTAAACAATGTCAAGATGAACAACAACAAAATCAAAGTAGACCTTCTAGATAAAATCATCTCTATTCCTCATTTGTATTTATTACAAAGAGAGATTTTTTTTCCTACCGATCTGAGATTCTATTTTATAGATTATATATATATGTAAGCAATTAAACTTTATTATATACGTACTTCAGTGAATTGGATTTTCGTTTTGAATGGATAAATTTAAACAAAACTTTATTTCACCTATAGTAATGATCGCTGTGATTACTTCATTGAACATTGTACAATTAAGGATTAAAAGAAAAAAACTATAGCCGGTTTGAATTTATTTTTTTTTCCCTACCACAGTTTATTCAAAATAGCATTTAAATTCAATTTCTATGTCATACATATTCTCTAATCACCTGTGATGTAATTATTCTTTCGTTTTTTTCTCTTTTTTTGAGATAGTATGTTAGTTTGAGTTATTGAAGCTGTTGCGAATGACTAATGCCATAGTGTTCAATGTTCATTGTTCAATTAGTGTTTCTTGTTTATTTGAAGTAAATCTGTCTGGTTTTCTTTTTTAATATTTTATGATTACTATTTACCAATATGATTATTTATTCTTGTATATTTTTATGTGAATGAACAATAAATCATTTTATTGTTAGTAGTATTATTACGTGTTCTACTGACATTATTTTCTATTGATCAGTATTTTTTTCGCATTTCACTCAAAAAAAAAACACATCAAATATAAGATTAGCCTGTTGGCTATTTTTCACTCTTGGTATAACTCATCATCTTTTTTTAAAATTAAGAAATGATACAACTGTATAGTTGTTTATTTGAATGTTTTCATTTTAAAGCTAGAAATAATATGTATACTTGTTAAGGCTTTCAGAGTACTATATTCTAATTACATATTTAATATATATGCCGGCCCAGTGGTCCTATGGTTAGGCGTTCACTCACAATACCGAATGTCCCGGGTTCGAATCCCACGAGGTGCAGGAGTCGTGGATGCGCACTGTCACTGATGAGTCCCATACCAGGACGAAACGGCCGTGTTTCAGTGCTTCCAGGTTTTGATTCGTGGTCTAACAATGATTGATTGATGATTTCAAATGTGTAAAAAACACAAATCTCCAAAGCTCTAACTGAAAATAATTACAAGTTGTGGAAAGTGTTACAGAATATGGGCATTATATTCTTGAATGTATATATATATATATATATACATATATATATATATATATATATATATATATATATATATATATATATACATATATATATATATATGTACTGAATCAAACTGTTTGTGGATATTCGGTTTCTGCTAAGTACTGAGTAATTCATATATATATATATCCCTTTTGATGAAAGAACAAAGCCCTTATTACCATTCGGTTTAAATAAGAAATAATAGTACTTTACAAGTGAACTTTTATAAATACTGATAAATAAGAAAAAATGTATTACAATGAATAAATTAAGAAATATGGAAATGTTATGAATGTTTTATGTTTTAAGTTGACATTTCGAAAATTGTTGTTGTTGTTTTTTCTTTAATGTGTGATTTAAATGAGATTTTTACGACATGAAATGGTCGATATTATTTTGACCATTTGAACTGTCATGAGTAATGTGAAACCAATAGGTTTTTGATACGGTCGAACGTGTTTGCTGGGCAGTCTCTGTCCACGTAAACTTAGTGTTGCTTAACAACTTATAGAGGGGTGCTGCTTCTTCGTTAAAGTTCTTCAAGAATCGACTGTAGAACGCCGCCCTTCCAAGAGACTGTCCAAACTTCCTTTTGGAATTAGGTAACCGCGATGTTCTTTATGGCTAGGATTTTCTTCGGCAACGGTTTTATTTCTCCATTTCCAACTTTATACCCCAACAGGATGACACTACTTTTCGCTATTTGTGATTTGTCCTTATTAATTCGTAGTCTGAATGATTATTTTCAATTGGACATGAATCTGTTAAGATATTTATTGTAATTTAAAGGATGTTCTTAATAGACAGTTTAACATGGGTAACGTTTTTTTTTAAAAATATTTCAGTAATTAATGTGTAACATTACAGTTACGTCTACTTGATTATATGACAAGGAGGAGAGAATATTTTTCTAGCATTTTGTTTTAGTTTTGTAAATTTAATTTTTGGATTCAATAATTTTGACATTAGTTTGATCAATGTTCAAAGATTAACTTTATAGTATTACATGAAATTTCGGTAATTACCAAGCGTAAAAGAACTTAAACTTTTATATACAATATATATATATATATATATATATATATATATATATAATTGTAAAAAATTCCAGTTTTATATACTCGTAACTTGAATTGTTAGGGTGAAGGTTTTAACTTAACGCAAAACTTATTTGTACTTTCTTTTTAACTAAATTGCTCTTTTGCAAAACGATCATTATATGTAAATATACACAGATATGTGTACATAAGTTTTATTTATCAGTGAACATAATAGGAGTGTTTTAATCACCCACAAGATAACAGGTGCGCTACTTTTGAAATAACATGTATAATTAAAATAGAAAGTACTGAATGATTCAGTTTTTAATAGGAGTCAGAAACGTTGCTTTAATAAAATGTGGGGTTACTGCTACTGAATGAATAATAATTGTACATTGAACAATTATCTAGTATTTTCTAATTTTAAACAATTAATTTAAATTATTAATTTCAACATCTGATGTAGTAGACTATATATCTCATTAAGATATTCTGTTCATGGTCGAATGACTCATATTAAATAATATTTCAGTTTAATCAGTTATCTAATCTTATTGAATTTAGAATAAAGTTGAAATCCTATAATACTGATGACAAAATCAAACCTTGCCTTTTTAAAATAAAACTAATTCTATGAGAATATGTGGTGAATAAGTATACATACAAGTTGTCTATTCAAAACTAAATGAATTGACACTGTGTGGAGAACACGAAATTGGGTATATTTTTTTGGCAAAAGGGAATATAGCTTTGAAATGGTTGAATTTTACAGGGAAATAAAGCAATTATTTTCGAACCTCTAATGTTAATTATAACTTTTCCTCATAAAAAAGGTAAACGTCAGAAATCACAGTATAACTCATTAAACTACACCGATACGATTAAGTTAGTTAACATTTCAATAGTTTGTAAACAGAATTAGATAAATGTGCTCTTTATTGATATAATATCCTTTAGGAAAAGTTACACATACTGACATGTAGAAGGTTTGTAATCATTGATTTTCATACATGTAACATGTGTTAAATATATTGTTGCTTACAGTTTATTAGAAACATTTCTAATCTGAATGTTAAGATTTCGTCAAATTAGATAAAAACCTTGAATGAATTTAAGCTTTTTCATAAAAACTGTACAGTTTGTTAGAACACTATGTGATATACTACTGACAAAATACTGAAACAGTTTAACTTCTCTTGAATAGGGTAGCTTTGGACTATGGTTAAAATGAACATTTAAGTGAAGTCAGAAAAAAAGTAATCTTATACTAACCAGTCATCGTTTTTTAACCTAATCAGTTATGTAGAACAGTTCATACATTGGATCCCGGAATAACAGAGCACATTGAACTAACACTGACTGATGATCAAAGTAAAATTTAGTTACAGAAGCACAGAGAAAGACAGATAGAGGATGAACGTAAAACTATGCAACCTAAGCAAATCAGAGCTATTGAAGGAAAGTTTCACATGTGATAAATATATATATGTATATATATATATACGCAATCGGTTTATTTTTAAAATAAATTTGGTAAATTTGTCTACTTGTTAATCAGTCAAAATTTTTTTAGTTTTGATTTCTATTTACATAACTTACATTGTTTTCTGATAATGAGAAAAGATGTTTTTATTTTTGTCTAGTCTCTAGTTTTTTTTTTGTTCCCTTCATGATGACAGATGGTTGGTTAATAGTATTTATGAATGTTGGTTAAATAGAAAATACATTGATGAAGTTGATTTATTCAGTCATTTGTCGTTTAACATTTAAAAATATGTATATATATATATATATATATATATATATATATATATATATATATATATAATGAAAATTCCCATATTGCAAATTAAAACAACAATATATATAAGCTAAAAATATTATTTTCAATTAGATATTCATCATGCTTTCATGTACAGACAGACAGACAGACAGATACAACACAGAACTTCTTACGTAAGTACATCAGTTCAGGCTGTCATACCACATCAGAACACAGAGATGTAATTGTCAGAGTGATAGCGATAGTAGAAGTATTAGCAGTGATGGAGAAGATTAGAGAGCGAAGATATGATTTGATAAGTATAATTCAGTGAGATAAATTTAGAAAGAGAAAGATAGAGATGATGAGGAATTCAGAAGGTTAGAATTAGAGAGAACACAAAGAGTGGATTAATCTGCGCCATTGGAAACGATTTTGAGCCATGTCATTCAAAGTCTCTAACCATCGGTGACTTTCGTCTCGCGGACCCCAACCAGGTAGCCCACATCTACCAGCATGACTCGGTCCACTTGTCAGTGAATTCATGGATTTGTGTCATTTTTTGTTCTGGCCGCCCCTACCTTTCGTCCAACCTAACCCTACACCTCATAACATGGCTCGTCGAGGCAGTCGGTGGTTGAGCATACGTAACACATGTCCCAACAACCTCAACTGATGAAGTTCCAATGCTTCATCTATTGATTTTCCATCCTTACCTAGAACTCGTTTCCTAACGACAGCATTACTTATACGATCATCCCAGGATACACGAGCAATGCTTCAGAGACACCGATGATCGAAAACCAGTAACCTACGAAAGTTCTCTACTCTTAATGGCCATGTTTCACAGCCATAGAGTAAGACGGAGCAAACTGCTGCACAGTACACTCGTTCTTTGGTTAGCAAGCGGATATCTAACTTTCATGTACAATAGTATTTATATGCATCAATGTAAGGTTGAATGTCTTAAAAGCAGCTATTATTCCCGCTTTACCACTGTTTCAGAAACACAATTCTTTTTTAAATAGTGAAGATTGACAACTTGAGTGAGTTTATATCCCCTTCTGAGCTCTAAATATGAATGCTTCCATTGTCATGCTTAACAGATTGATCAGCGCTTATTTTATGTAAGAGTGAATGGTTTATTTCA